GACATTCAGGAGGCCAGAAAACAAAAGGAAAGACTACACTCAGCATTTCTGAAGCTAAAATAACTGAAGCAAAAATCCAAGTGTTTATTTGTAATATTGAAGGATTCTACGGGCAAATTGGAGTCCTGGTTTGGTGATGTGGGTTACTGCCCTGGACTGCAAAGTTTGTTTACTCCTCGGAAACCCTATACAGGGTGGCTTTGGTAGGAACTGACACAACTGTACTTAATAACAACAACAACATGGACAAATTAGTGAAATGCTGGGGTGAGATAATATCTCACTATTGTTTAGATTTGCATTTTTTAATTGGATTTTTTGTCTTTTTCTTATATTATAGTTGTTGTTAAGTGCCATCAGGCTGGTTCCAACCCATAGTGACCCTGTATAAAGTTTCTGAGGGGCAGTTGATGAGCTTGAACCTCCATTCTTACAGTTTAAACCAACTTTGCAAGTCCAGGGCATTAACCCACAGCGCCACACCAGGACTCCAGAGGTGTTGTAGTTTTCTATAAATTTTAGAGATTAATCCCTTAGGGTCTGATGTGTCATTGCAAACGTTTTTACCCAGTCTCTGGGCTCTCTTTTTATTCTTTTGATGCACATAAATGTCTAATTTTTAGGAGCTCTCAGTCATTTATTTGTCTTCTACTTTTTTTGTGTTGTTGTTGTTTTAGTTATGCTTAACAGTGTACTTATACCGTGTATTAGAGCCCCTAAAGTTGTGACTATTTTTCATTAATGATTTTTATAGTTCTAGGTTTTACAGTTAGGTCTTTATGTTGATTTTGTTTTTGTATATGGTGTGAGATACGGGTCTTGTTTCATCTGCATGTGGATTTTCAGTTTTGCAGCATCATTTATTGAAGAGACTAGTTCTTCTGCATTTAATTTTTTTGGCCCTCTGCCAAAGATCAGCTGGCTGTGTGTGGATGGATTTACATATAGGTTCCCATTTCTATTCCATTGATGTATGTCTCTTTCGTTGCACCAGTACTAAGCTGTTTTGACCACTGTGGCTGTGTCAGATTTTGAGTTCATTAAGTGAGGCCTTCAACTTTGATCTTCTTAAGTAATTCTTTGCATATTTGAGGTCTCATTCCTTTCTCTTTCTTTCATCTTCTTTAGGTGCTTTTTTGCTTCATTCAATATTTTGCCCATTGCTGTTGTTGTTAGTGTCATCAAGTCGATTGTGACTTATAGCAATCCTCAATATGGTTTCTGAGGCTGTAAATCTTTACTGCAGCAGAAAACCTCATCTTTTTCTTAAGAAACAGCTACTGGGCTTGAACTGCTAAATTTGTGGCTTAAAGTCCAGTGTTTATCCTACAGAATCACCATGCTCCCCTTATTTAGCCCATAGAATCCTTCAGTATTTCAAGTAAAGGCTTAAGTTTTTTTTCTTCATTTCTTTTAACTTGAGAAATGCTGAGCGTGTTCTTCCTTTTTGGCTTTCCAACTCCAGGTCTTTGCACATTTTATTATAATATTTGACTTTGTCTTCTCAAACTGCCATTTGAAATTTTCTGTTCAGCACTTTCACTGCTTCATTTCTTCCATTCGCTTTAGCTTCTTTACACTCAAAAGCAAATTTCAGAGTCACCTCTGACAGCCACTTTGTTCTTTTATGTCAGCCTGTCTTTTTAATGACCTTTTGCTTTCTTTCTGTATGATGCTCTTGATGTTATCCACAACTTTTTTTTGTCTTCAGTCATTAGTATCTAATGCATCAAACTTGTTCTTGAAGTGGTATCTAAATTCAAATGGGATATACTACAGTTCACACCCACCAGCTGCCCCTTGGGAACCCTATACGGGATCGTTATGAGTCAGAACGACTCAATGGCACTTAACAACAGAAACATACTCAGTGTAGTATTTTGGCTCTTGTGCATGTTTTCAAGTTTTTCAGTTTCAGCCAGAACTTGCATATGAGCAGTTGATGGTCTGTTCCACTGTCTGCCCCTGGCCTTGTTTTGGCTGATGATATTAAGCTTTTCCACCATCTCTTCCCACAGATTTATCAATTTGACTATATCTGGTAAGGTCTATGTGTATAATCACCTTTTATACTGTTTAAATATAAATGCAAAAGTCTATCATAGGATCTCCAGCATCATTTTTACCTCCAAGGCTATATATTTCACCTATGGATCCATCTGCTTTGTTCCCAACTTTTGCATTCCAGTCGCCAGTAATTATCAATGCATCTTCATTGCATGTTTGATGAATTTTGAACTAAAGAATTTGTAGAATACAATTTCATCATCACTGTCTTTAATGGTTGTTGTGTAAATTTGAATAATAGTGGTATTAACTGGTCTTTCTTGTAGACATACGGATATTATCCTATCACAGACAGCATTGTACTTCAAGATAGATCTTGAAATGTTTTTCTTATAATGACTATTGTCACCATTCTTAATTTGGCATTCCCAGCTTAGTAGATCATATCATCTGATTCAAAACTGCCAATATCAGTCCATGTTGTCTCACCAATGCCTAGGATGTCTATCTTTATGCGCTTCCATTTCATTTTTTACAACTTCCAATTTTCCTACATTTATTCTTTATAACATTCCACATTCCAGTTACTAATGGATAACTACAGCTGTTTCTCCTCATTTTGAGTAGTGCCCTATCAGCAAATGAAGGCCTTGAAAGCTGTTTTCCATTCACATCGTTATGGTCAGCTCTACTTTGAGAAGGCAACTCTTCCCTGTTGCATTTTGAGTGGCTTTCAACCTGATTGGCTCATCTTCTGGCACTATATATGACAATGATCCGTTGCTGTTAATGAGATTTCATGTTCTGGCACTATTATCTGACCAGTATTTCACTTCCATTTATAAGGTTTTCAGTGGCTAACCATTTGAACTCCTGGTTTGGTGCTGTAGGGTAAGCACTCAACCACAAGGTCAGTGTGAACCACAAGGTTCATGGTTCAAACTCACCAGCTGCTCCTTGGAAAGCCTATACAGGATTGCTATGGGTCAGAACTGATTAGACGACACTTAACAACAACAACCATTCAGAAGTGGTTCACCTCTGATGGTGAATAGACTAAATCAATTGGATGAAGACAAAGAACTTTGAAAATGATGGTTTGGAGAGTTGAGGGAAATATTTGGAACACTAGTGTGTTGCGGTTATTGCTGTAGTAGTCCCTTCAACTGTTGAGGACTGGCAAATGGATATCTTTCCCACCACATAGTAAGGTCCTTGGAACATAAAGTGAGCTACTTTGGAATGTTTTCTTTGGTGATTTGAAGTCTACGTTTAACAGTGTCTTAGAAGGATATGAACAGCCACAAAATTTAAGAGTTAGCATAATAAGGAATTATTTTTCCTTGTTGGAGGAGAATATTGAAAGTGATGGGCTATCAAAAGAACCAATAGATCCGTTTTGGAAGAAGTGCAGCAAGAGTGCTCCTTAGAGGCCAAGATGGCCAAACTTCATCTTTCATACTTTGGACATATTGTCAGGAGGGAGCAGTCACTGGAGAAGGATATCATGTTTGGTAAGGTGGAGGGTCAGAGAAAAAGAGGAAGACCCCCAACGAGATGGATTAGCCAAGTGACAGCATCAATGTACTCAAGCGTGGCAACAGTAGTGAGGTTGGCTCAGGTTCAGCCAGTGTTTCGTTCTGCTGTGCATAAGGTCGCTATGGGTCAGTACCAACTCGATGACACCTAACAACAACAAAGGAGCACTAGTAGCATAGTGGGTTACATGTAGGGCTGCAAACCTCAAGGTCAACAGTTTGAATCTACCAGTCGCTCCAAAGAGAAAGATGAGGCTTTCTGCTCCTAGAAAGATTTATAACCTTGGAAATCCTATGCAGGGCTGCTCTGAGTCGGAACCAACTCGATGGCACACCACCACCACCACTAAGGAAGAGTGGATGAATATACAAACAGACACTCAAGGACTAGCTAACAAAGACACCTTATAGTACTTGTGAAAACTAGGTTACAACTGAGTATGAGTATTTCCTTTCTTACTCTTTCTTTGTTAGTATGACAGGTAACCAAAATTCTTTTTTAGATAACAATAGGATGTTTAGATAAGTCAAAATCAATTAAGAAAACAGGTATTTAGTATAGTTCAGTAAAGTTGTTTATCATAACATTCTTCTCAAATGAATTTGTGGTGACTTACAAGGCTATATGTAAAGGGTTGTGGTTGTTGTCAAGGGCCATCGAGTCGATTCCAACCCACAGTGACCCTGTATAGGGTTTCCAAGGAGCAGCTGATGAGCTTGAACCGCCAACCTTGCAGTTCAAACAGCTTTGCAGTCTGGTGCATTAACCCACAGTGCCACACCAGGACTCAAGTAAAGGGTAGTAAGGATAAATATATCTGCTGGGATATTTGCTTCCATTAATAGAAAAGCCAACCCAAACTATTTGAAAGCAAGCAAACATACAAAAACAGTAAATTTATTAAAGTTGATATCACTCAAAATTAAGAAAGAATGTAGCTGGCTTTGGGTAAAGAGTTAGCCTGTGGCTTACATGATAAAGCCAAAATGCTAGGTTTTCTGTTTTCCTGATTTTTTACCTTCTAAGCTTTATCATCAGGCTTCCCATGAACCCTAGTGACTGTATGTCATTCCAGATATTTCAAAATGGCTGAAGCACAACTCAGAAGTCTTTTAAAGTCTCACAAATTGCAGACTCCATATGATATTGGGTCTGGCCTCAGGTTCTACTAACTTGTAATACATTACAAAGAAAAATGTAGTTATTTCAAGGGCATTATTTATTATACATTGCCAGAGATTATAAACTGCCAATTTGCATTTCATATAAAGCGCCTTTCAAGTAATCAGTTTATAATCTCTTTACTAAATATAAATCAACATTGCATGGCTTTCTTAATAACATTTTATAGATCTTTATATTATTCCAATTTTTCATACATGTGCTCATTTTTTTCTAAAATTAAGGTATCTTTAGGTTACAATATACTACTTTTTTCTTACTTGTAGCTGGCTTGTAAAGATTTGAATCACATTATGGGATTGCTGGACAAATTGTCATGCTTACTTGGCCTGAAGAAGAAAGAGGTTCATGTTTTGTGCCTTGGGCTGGACAATAGTGGCAAAACAACAATCATTAACAAGCTTAAACCTTCAAATGTAAGTATCTTGGTTAGATGTTGTATTTTCTGCTACTAGGAAAAGTTAATTATACCATAGTATTTTGTTTGCTATTATAACTTCATGTAATCATGATACAAAATCTTGTGAACCTTATAGTACCTTAAAGTAGTATCATTTAACCATAAATTGCAGTGTTTCATACATGTTTATATACAGATATTGATTATTTAGACTAAAAAGTAATTTACAAATACTTTCATCTTAAAAATATCTTCAGAAATTTACCAAGTGTACTTTCAGGTTGCCTTATTTTTGGTTCTCTCTTCAGTGAAGCTACCCCACGTGTGTCAGTTTGTCGTACTGTCGTGGCTTATGAGTTGCTATGATTCTGGAAGCTATGCCACCAGTATTTTAAATACCAGCAGGGTCACCCATGGTGTACAGGTTTCACATGGACTTCCACACGAATGCAGACTAGGAAGAAGGAGTGATGAATTACTTCCGAATATTTAGTCACTGAAAAAAACCTTGTGAATAGCAGACAAACAATGTCAGACAGTGCCGGAAAATGAGCCCCTCGGGTTGGAAGGCACTCAAAATGCGACTGTGGAAGAGTTACCTCCTCAATGTAGACTTGACTATAATGACGTGAAATTTTAAAATTAAGAAAGGTGTGTGACAGGGTTGTATTCTTTCACCAATACTTGTTCAACCTGTATACTGAGCAAATAATTCGAGAAGCTAGGTTCTATGAAGAAAAGCGTGGCATCAGGATTGGAGGAAGATTCATTAACAACCTGTGATATGCAGATGATACAACCTTGCTTGCTGAAAGTGAAGAAGACTTTAAGTATTTACTCATGAAGATCAAAGAGCACAGCCTTCGGTAT